TCACTGAGCCCATCTGTTATTTGTGAGCGTTAATTAACCACACTGCCATTTCCTCTGTGCACACCGCGTTTGAAGGTACTTAGAGTACACGAGAGTACACGAGTCAGCCCCACGAGTTCATCAAAATGCTAATTCAGCCCAAATTAAAGTTGTGATTAACATTACACAGTTTCCTGTGCAGGCAAATCGATCCTTCCACAGGCTCTTTCTCTCCCCCTGGGTGACGAGTGTCTGGGGAAAGAGAGACTTTCCTCTTGGGTGTTCTTGTCATCACTGCCAAAGTGGAAGGAAATCAGAAACAGCCCAGCGATGAAGCAAACGGTGTGTCCATAAAATTTGTGTCTAAATGCCAACAGTTTTCTTTAAATACGTCTTATACCACTGCATTTGTTTTGCCCTATACAAGTGTAGAAAAAAATCAGAGATATAAAAAAAAAATGTCTCATCAAATAGTGTTTTTAAACCAAAATCAAAATGTATTTATTTACTATCTGCATCTATTTGCTTCTGGTGTTTGCCCTTAATCACCTTGACCTTTTCACATTCACACATCTCTCCCGTAAATAAGCTGTAAAATATTAAGCACAAAAATAAATGTGTAATGGTGATAGAGTAGCGTTTCTGACAGGTTAGTCACACCAATTCTTGAGAGCCAGTCAGTGAGCCATATGCTCCTGGTGCAGCAGAAGCGATCCCATAAGTATTTTTGTTCAAACAACAACAGCTTGACATTCCCAATGGGTAAATGAGAGTGGGATGTTATTTAGGTACATACTGCATACTGTACCTATACATACACACACACACACACACACACACAGATAAAGTTCTCGTGGTAATGAAAGCCCCTGGCGTTCATCACTCTGTCTTAAGCAGTGGTTATTGAGGCATTAAATATGTCTACACAGGGCTCAGTGAAAGGCTGCCAGATCAGTGTTCTCCTCTGAGGGGCTTCTGTTTGCATACAGACAGGTTAGGGTATTGGGAACGTGCACCGAATGGAGCCTGGGAGTTGTAACTGGGTGCCCACCACTTTGGTGTTAGTGCCATTATGGAATGTCACTGTGGGAGAACTGCAGCTCTTCAGTGGGATTACTGAGATTCTTGCTGAAATTGCGCGGAATTGGAAATGTGGTTGATGGATTCTCTCCCAAGTGAAGTGTGCACAATACTGACACACACACACACATTTAAATTTACGTTCAGACACACGCTCATTA